AGGAACATGTGGGGGTGTGTCAGAGAAGTCCCCAGAGAAGGGATCAATTTTAAAGGCTGGGGATTTAGCTTAGTGGTTCCACCGCCTGCCTTGCAAGCCCAAGGAAACCTTCTGAACACGTCAGAAAGAGGGAGCACTTACACCAAAGGGAAATCTTGGGAGACAGAAATGGGGACAAGAGGACAAGGCCTGTCTTTGGAGCCAGAAAAAGGTCTCTGTAGCTTAAACACAGGACTCATGAGAAACTGGCCAGAGGGGACATGGGAAGGATGAGCAGAGTTGATGACATGAAGAAACTTTTAGACCATGACAAAATGTATGGAACTCATCCCACAATCGCATTTTTAGAGGGACATTAAAGAGTTTCAAAGATTTCATTGTATTTTGACTGCTCTCATCTCTTGAAGATTCACAGTGCACATTAACATCTTCAAGATTTTGAAAATTCACACAATGCAAACATCTTTTTAACATTAATATTTCCTACCCTTACTTAAGCATGGATTTTTTAACAGACTAGGACAGATCATCTTTTATGAAATACTCCTTTAAGCAGTAGGGTCCGTCCCAAGGGTTTTGTTATTAGTTGGCTCTCCCATTGCTAGCTATAAGACCCAGCCCCGCAGTTTAAAGGAGGAGAGGTTTACCTGGCTCATGTTTTCAGTCTAAAGTTTTCTCCTTTCTCAGTGGGTCACATCTTTCTCTCCCTTTCCTACAAGGACAACTGTCACGGGATTAGGAATTACGTTAAATCCTGGATGATCTCAACTCAGGCACCTTAATTATATCTTTACAGACCTTATTTCCAAATAAGACCACACTAACAGATACTGGGGTTTTGGATTTGTACATATCTTTTGGGGGGACAAAATTCAAGACGTTACAGGTAATTTAGTTTCTTTTTTTTTCTTTACCGTGGGCATCCACTGTTACTAATTTTGTCCCTTTAGAGGTTATCACCTCTAAAATTGCTTTCCAATTCATTCCTTCTTTTCTGCCCCCAACAGTGTATATGATGGATGCTTTTTTAAAAAACAAAGAAATGGAGAATTTTAAAATAGTGGTTAAGAAGAAACATCAAGACATAAAAAAGCAAACTTTGAATTTAACAGTTATAGAACCTCACAAGTTTCTTGTGTGAACGATTCCTAACCAGTATTTTCCAAATTTCATTTGAAATATTAAGTAGCACTCATATTGTCCTGTGCCTGCTAAGTGGTTCACCAAACTTCTACACATGTACTCTCCCTTCTAGTCCTGTTTTTAGACAAAATTCCTGCATAAATTTATGATAAAGACAAAATCAAGTGTATCAAATGACAATTTTGGGACACTTTGAACTCTGATGGACTAACTTCTAATTCATTTGAACCTCGGTGCCAACCTAGAAATGACATCCCCTCACAGATTGAACTGTCATGGTCAAAACCATGTAAGAAGAATGTTAAAGGTACATAAATAATGAAAACAAAAGAAAAGAAAGGAGTTAACCTTATTTACTGCCTCCAGATTCTAAGTTCTACCTACTCTTTCATATGTGTTATTCCATCAGCATTACATTTATTTCACAGTTGAGAGAAATGGAAAAAGATTAAATGCTCATAATTTGTCAGATACTACACTTTCCAAGGAGTGGAAATCCAGATCCATTTGAATCTAGTCCCCAACTTCTGTTTATGTCACTATGCCACTTTGTAAATAAAGTGACAGTGAATTACTTTCATGGATCATTTATTCTGTCAAGAGACTATATCTACGGCCAAGGATTTAGCTCAGTGGTGCTGCTGCCTGCCTCACAAGCACAAGGTCCTGAGTTCAATCCCTAGTACAAAAAAAAAAGAGAGAGAGAGACTATATATAGTGAGCGTTATGCCCATTTAACATACGAAATAGTTGAGATTTAGAAAAATAAACCCAATTGTATAATTTATATAAGTGGCAAAGCTAGGGTTTAATTCAGGCTTGTCCAACTTTCAAACACTCACTTTTATTGATGGTTATAAATTTGGACCAAAATCATAGAGCAGGTGAAGAAAATATCACAGGCAAGAATACAAAGATGGAAGGAGATGAGAGATGAAAGTAGAACTGTGCTGTGATGAAAAGCAAGGAAGGAAGAAATTTCCATAAGGACAGGAGAGTTAATACTGTACTATCATTCCGCAAGGATGCAAAATGCCCTAAGATTTGGCAACTGAAACACTACAGGGGACAAGACATAAAGATTGTAGTGAGAGAATGGGAGAGTGTGAGATAAAGCATCTTTGAGAAGCTTGATTGGAGAGAGAGAGAGAGAGAGAGAGAGAGAGATGGCAAAACAAAGTTAAAGGAGGAACCTTGCATGTAATAGGGGAAAAGTGTAGCTCAGATACTTACAGGTTGTGGAGTGGACATGGTAGAGATCAGGTGGATGATATGAGAACCAGCAATGAAAAGAAAGAGAAATTGAGAACATGTGTAGGGGATTTTCCTTGACTGAAAGTAGAGGACACCATTTTCTTTGAAACGCCAAGGGGAAATGGGCATAACAGAGATCTGTGGCTAGCAGAGTGTAGGATTTGGCATGGGGGCAGGAAGGGGAGCATTCAGCCTCACTGGTCTGACACAAGGCCATTGGCTGAGAAAGAGAGTGAGCAAGGCTGGAGATTTGTTGACTATGATGAGAACAATATGTCAGGAACCAACAAATGAAGCTATGAAGATTGAATCTGTAATATATAAATGGCCTTGATTTAACATACACATACAAATGATAGAATGTCATATAACGTTATAATGGAAACTGGAGAGTCTCTAAAAGCAACAATGTTTATTTTAAAGCAAACACCCTTTACCACCTGCAATCACTTCAATGTGGAACTAGCCATTACAGAACATATTTGTCAACTAACCACCTTCATGGTAATTTGTATTCCTCTTGCATCTATATTAATCATTTTCCTGCACAGTGCTATCATCTCAATCCATAAGAAGCCTAAAGAATCCATGGTTTTATACAATACATTTGTGGTTTGGAAATGTTAAATAGACTACGCAATGCATGAAACGAGGTAAAATATAAACAGAAGTTAGAGAACAGGAAAGTCGGGAGTAATCCTCTTAAGATTTTACTAAGTAAATATATCTGGGCCATCACTGTCATTTAAGAGTGTATTTCTTTTAGAATAATGAAAGAACAGAATAAGGTCAGGAATAACATATGACAACAATTGTTCGGAAGGACCAAATCAGTATGTTAAGGATAATATAAGGCTAACTACCCTTTACAGTAAATATTAACTCTAAAGATCAGTCCTTGGTTTGTTTTCCAGTTCATATTGTATTTATAAAGAGCAGAAGTGTTTTGGTCTGTGAATAAATACCAAAGATTAGCTCTGAAAGGCTTATAATAGTTCTTAAGGCACCTCTTTATCACCTACATGGAACTTATCTTCATCCTCAAGAAGATGAGAGAAGCAGGTGTAGTCTGTGCATAGTTAGGAGGAAAGGTGTGGACTACTTAGAAACCTTCCAAAGTGAAGCACTGCACCAATCTGACATCAGTTTCTTCAAGAGAAATGTTTAAGCAGCAAGAAAATATTTTATGTTTTTTGGCAATCAGCAGATCAGATAGAAGAGTCTAGCAATACAACCGGGATGTATAATCTGACATGATTAGACAAGGCTCTTTAGTACCAGAACATTCATAATTGAGACAAAGAAAGAGTATTAATAACACTTTCCTAACACGGCAGTTAGCCATTTTATATTTCCTTTCTTTAATCTTAGTGTTTTTCAACAAATCATGGGATTTAATAGCGTGTTTTGGCAGATTAGAGGATTTATGGCCCAGATGTTTTTTGTTCTAAAAATGGATTAGGGTGTAAAGTTTGCTGGAATCCATGGGACATGTTGAGGCAAGCCGGTCATTTTGTGTGTGATTAGCGCCTGCCTTCTGTCTCACAGTCCCTCCATCTGTCGCAATTCACCAATGGATCTGGTTAGATTTAGCCTCATGTCACAAACAAGTCCCTTTTCTGGGCAATTTCATAGTACAGATTCATTTTATGCCATTTTATGCCCCAGTTAAAAGATAGGGAGAGAGAAAGATGAGATATTAGCTTTTCTTTAAATATTTGTAAGAGCCATTGATTCCCATCAGTATGCTACGCTAATATCATGAGCTCATCATAATAATGTGCAGCAGATAAATGACCAGTATTAAAACAAAGTTAAAATTAGTTTAGCTCCCGATCCCTGTTACTCTTTAAAAGAAATATTTTGGTGGTGTTCCTTACTAACTCTGGACTGTGTAGCTGCAGACAAAAGCTAGCCATTTAACCATCTTAGGAAAAGTGTGAGTTAAGTGCTACTATAGTGAATAGTTGCCACAATTTTTTCTTAATTGCAGGTGCTTGGTTACATTCTGTGTTTGAAATTCAGACTCTTAAGTATTAAAAAACAAGTTTGAATCCACAGCAAAGCACTGCCACCTGTAGTTTACTTCACCATAAATAGATGTAAGGGAAAATGCTCTTCTTTCAGTCACTTAATGATTTATTCCTCTGTATCTAAGAAACATAATAGTGCTATTCATAAACTCCTCTAAGCTTCCTCATATTATGAGACATTCAATAATCATAGTAATAATTAATAACACCTATATCTTATGATGACATCCAAATGTTCCTTGCATTAAAATAAGCAGATAGGTTTTATTTTGCACTACAGAATATTTAGGTAATAACTAAAAAGTTCATTTTAAATTATATTTTAAACTTCTTTCCAAATATTTGGAAACAGCTTTCACTTAAATATGTTTTTACTACAGATGTTTGGCCACATGTTCATGTATGAATGTGCGAATCAATCAATTACTCATTCATTGATTAATTTTAGACAAATTCCATAAAGAAATTCTTACATGCCAGGCACTAGCCGTCACCCGACACAGAAGAGATTTGTGTGGTTAAAGGCAAACCTTGCCATGCCTTTGTACATTTGCTCTGTCTCATTTTCAGGTTATTTAAATGATCACGATGCTGTCAGTAAGGCAATCCAGGAAGCTCGACAGATGAAGGAGCAACTTCGGCGGGAACAACAGGTGCTTGATGGGAAGGTGGCTGTTGTGAATAGTCTAGGTCTCAATAACTGCCGGACAGAAAAGGTTAGTTCCTGAAATAATTTACTTTCCAGGAAGAGTTCATTAACATGCCTGGATGCTTTCTTTTTTATCTTTTCAATTTACCATGCTCTGAATGATGGTTCTCCCTTTTTCATTTCCCTCCATCAATGCAGTAGTCCCCATGCCCATCCTAATCAAAACCATCTGGAAGTGGGAAACATTTATAATTCTCTTTATCCATCTCCAATCCTTATTGACGATTAATATCCCCCTTTATGATGCCAGTTTGTATGAAAATGAAGTGGCCTTCGAAATATCTGAATCTGAGTGAAAGTTCTGCTTTACAGAGATACTTAACTTGTATTGGGGGATGAGCGGGATTTGAAAATACTAAATCTTCTTTAATCACCATAAGCTTGGATGATACCCATGCTCATATTCTAAATATGTAGGATCCTGTGCTGCTGATAATGTTTCCAGTGCAGAGCACTGTCAAGTGTTAAGTGGCTGTGAAATTGGAAATTTTTACTTTATCAGAAAACTTTGCTTTTTAAAACTTTGTTAGTTATTATACCTCAGTCTGGTGAAACTTCTGAATTTGTCTGGGATATAACAATTTCAAGCTATTTTGTTTAAGTACATATTGTGTTTTACTCAGAAAATATTATGTCATTATAGATGTTCAAAATGATAAGCCTCTTTTGGTAATATTTGCTATGTTTTGAAGGGAAATTTTAAAGTATCACCAAATCTCTTGTACACAATCCTATAGATAGAACAGATAAGGGGGAAATGATTGGCTACTTAGCAATAACTTCAAAGTTCATCATAATCAAAAGCACATGAGCCAAGAAAAATTGTCCAGAATGAGCAGATTGCTGATTTGGATAGCTCTCTGGTTTCCCAGGTTTCATGTAAAATTCAGTGTATAATCACTAAAAGCTCACAATCTGCATGGTCCAGGTGAAATGTAGGGATGATCCTGTCACAGCTGTTTTTTTCCTCTGGTCCTAGAATGCATAAAAATGTAGGATGGAGAAACAGTTCAATTCTTCTCTGTCTCTAGGGGACAGAACGTGGGTCAGGATACATCCTTGGAGTCTTATAACATAAGAAGGGTGACATTGTTGCAGTGGGAAGGACACAAAATTTTTACAGCTAAGCACCAGAAGGGAAGAGGAAAAGCAAAGTGACAGCTCTAAGAAGGAATGATTGCAAGCATAAAGGAATTTATATTCAAATATTTAAACATTCTTGAAAGGATGCTTGAACAGAAATTCCTTTTCTCTGCTCCCCATGTAGAAATGAGTTTAACACTCAGCCAGATGCTAATGCAAAGTGACTCAAGCTATTCCTCGCAAGCATAGCTAAATTGCCGTTATTTGTTAAGCGCATTGAATTCAGCTGTGGATACAGCAGTTGGTTGCATTCAGCAAGCATCTGTACCCTTTTTTTTAATCCTCCAAAGCAGAGACAACTCTACCTATCTCCCCCCCTCGCCTCCCCTGTGCTGGCTGGGAATTGTCAAGTGACAACCGACCAAATCCTTTTGGACAGGAAGCCTTCATCCTGAGTTCTGTGTACTTACAAAACGGGCCTTGTGGTTGGATCAGGGAGCCCATTAAAAGCACTTTGATGGTATGGAAATTCATCTTCATGAAGCTCCTAGGCCCCCAAGAAGCATGCTGTTTAGCTGTGGTTACAGATCAGTCATTCACATCGGAGGGCAATAATTGTGCCGACGGCTTGTAAGGCAATAGAAGTACATAAAATAATCCTGGGCCCTCCACCATGGCACTGAGTTAATCTTCTCTAATACAGATCAGCTGTTGTTCTAACACATGACTTTATACTGGTTCCAGTGGCTCTGCACAGTCTTTTGATTAAGTAACAGGAGTGGAACCATCTGTATTCACTTTACTCTATACTTGTCCATGGTTGGGGACCTTATTTCCACCTCTTGTCCCACCTCCACAACTGTGCTTTATTTTATTTCTCTAACACCTCATATTTGGGTTGTAGGAGTGAAAGTTGCCTTTGTTGAAAGCTACCACTTCAGTAGAATTATAACAACTTTTGTAAAATCTATTTTACAATACCTGCCAATAACTGTTGGCCAGATAAGATGTCTCTGTTCTCGAGGTTATTTTTCCTGAATTTCTTTACTATGCACTTGCAATGTAGTTGAGCTAAGTCTTGAACTCATTTTCATTGACTTTAAATGAAATTTTAATTTGTGAAAATGAAGCAGTCTAGTAATGTAGTAATGTAGTGACAAACTCTTGTATAAGGAAACCTTCTGAACCAGTGTCTGAATTAGCTCATCCTTTACGTTATGCTGATTCCTCCCAATAAAAGTGAGACTACTGAAGCTCTTTGAAATCGCTCCTAGTGTGGCTTATGTTTGCCTTTTCCTACTGAACTAGCTTGAGTATCATTTCTACAATGATTAATCTATGTCTGTGCAATTTATGGGAATGAGATAATAATATCAAATTGATATCTTTTCATTAGTAATTATTCACATCAGTACCTATTATGTATTTGGGGCTATGTGCTTGCAGTATTGTTTCATATAAAAACTACAGTCTCAGGCTTTATGGAGCTTACAATATGGATCAAAATAATATCTTGCTTGTTAAATCATTGCATATTTATGGGTGTGTCAACTCATCTATCAAGGCTGAATACTCCATATGTCCAATCAGTCATATATCTGAGATGACACAGGTGGATATTTGTCCTTCCACGTAAAGCAACATCACCATGCACAGTGTGCTGTTACTTTCCCACACTGACTTTTTGTTACATTTTTGTAATCATTCAGGTTTATTGATGGCCAGTATGTAGGTCAGTTTTGGTTTGGAATTTTTTCTCATCATTCTTAATAAAAAGTTTTAAAGGACTATAATGGTAAATTCCTTTTATAATTTGCACTGTCATTTTTCTCTTTTCACCTGAATCCCAAACAAATGTTTTACTATCTATCGTAATACTCATAATTCTCTAAATCCATGAAGTATGTGAACGTAAAAAGTGAGGGAGATAAAGGAGAAGGAAAGATGGAAAGGATCTGGGATAAAAGAAACAGGAAAGAAAAGAAATCCAGCCTGTGTTTTACACCAGTTTAAAGGGTGGTAGAGATCATGACCTGAGAACCAGAAAATTAATATCTTCTAGTGAAGATCTGTGTTTTTGAATATACAAACCTTATCTGCATGAACTTTGCTTCACATATCTAAAAGCCAACATGGTTGTCCCGACTAGGTCTTAATTCTGAAAAGCTGTAATTGGACAGTGCAAACAATTAGAGGTGTGAAGATAGGGATGACTGTTTTCCCAGCGATATGTACCGAAACATCATGAAAGTCATTTTCACTGAAACGCATTTTAATTGAAGACTTCTTAAAGATTTTTCACTCTTTACTTTTCTTGGAAGTGTTTCAGCATACCCAAGAACTATGTGTCAGGTTTCTTGGAAACTCTGGGACACAGTGTTATTTATAATTGTCATCTCGGGTTAATTATAGACTGATTGTATATTCAAGTAATTCTCTTACCACACAGCTCTGTTGCAGACAACCAGATAATACTAATCACACTGTTATGGAGGGAAAAGTAATCTCAGGTAGGAAGAAGCAAAACAAAAAAAAACTTTCAGACATTTATTTTTTAAAAACACTCACTTTGCTTCATTTATATCCCAATGGCACAATTTTGACCATATGGTATTAGCTGTCTAGCAGGGTCTTGGTCTTGTCCTTGAAGGCATCTGTACCTAATAGGAGAGCATGCAAACCTGTTGGTATTGTCCTGATCCCAGCAGCAGTGTTAGTCGTGCATGCAGCTGAAAAGAGAAATAGACCAGAAGTTTCTCAGCTTATTTTCCTCAGTCCAAATGTTCTCTAGGAAGAATATTTCTATGCTGTAGTACCTATTAGAAATATATTTCTCACCACACGTGAGGAAATATCAGTAGCTGGAATAAGTACTGTTTAATTTTTATCCCACGATGAAGCTAGGGAGTAGGAGGTTGGATGCATTACTTCATCAACTCAATGATATAAGGCTTGAAGTCTCTGTGACTCTTTGGTTTGTCCCTTTGGGTCGCAAAATGGTTGTTGTCCCATGACTGTCCTGTCCACCTGCAGGCAGGCAGACTCGAGAAGGAGGAGTTTTCTCTGCTGAATTCAGTCTTCATTCATGTGGGGATGTTTTAGCCTCACCAGGCTCATTGGCTAGAACTGGGTCATATGCACATCTTTAAGGAAATTTCTGGCCAAAGGCAAAAAGACTGCTTTAAAATGATCATGAATTATATTCTGCAACTCAGAGAACTTCTTCCCTGAGATCAGCGGCCATCTTGGGATCAAAGGTGATATTAGTAGGGAAGAAAAGAACCAGAATGGCTTTTGGGTGGGACAAGGCAATGCTCAGCCTTAGCTACATTATAAAAATGATATCAAAGCTCTCAAATATTGGCTTCAGGAAACTGGTTTGTTTTGTGTTGTAATTATTGTCATCTGTCTACCTTTTGCTCTGTCACCATTACATGTTTAGGGCTTTCTATTTTGTCTGTGGTTCATAAAGAAGCAAATGACACACAAGCATGCGCACAAAACACTGCTTGGTAACAGGTTAAATGTAAGAATGTGTGTTCACACACATGCTCCATACATGTTAAGAGCAACTTCTGTTTTGTTTGTTTTATGTAAAACAAATGTCACTCACAGAAATAAGCATGCAAATGTATGCATATATTTTTTAAGGTGGAGAATTTATTCACCAAACATTAATTGTCTACAGTGTATCTAGAATATAAACATGCACGTAGGCTATGAACTCATCTATAATTGTACATAGTTGCTGGGAAAATGTCTTTTGCTTTTGCATTTCAGGGAAAATTCATTGCAAATTTCTATAGAATGAAGTGAAAATATGATGAATAACATGTATATTTTAAATAATAATTTACTCGATAGTGACATCGGTTTCTCTCTTTTTGGCTGTTTATCAGTCATATTCATAAGAAGCCCAATCAT